AAAAGTCAAAGTCATAACACACAAACAACACAAAGCAGGATCATATCGATCAGCAATTAAAAAAAGTCAAAGTCATAACACACAAAAACACAAAGCAGGATCATATCCATCAGCGGTTTAAAAAAGTCAAAGTCATAACACACAAAAACACACAAAGCAGGATCATATCCATCAGCAATTAAAAAAGTCAAAGTCATAACACACAAAAACACACAAAGCAGGATCATATCCATCAGCAATTTAAAAAAAGTCAAAGTCATAACACACAAACAACACAAAGCAGGATCATATCGATCAGCAATTAAAAAAGTCAAAGTCATAACACACAAAAACACACAAAGCAGGATCATATCCATCAGTAATTAAAAAAAGTCAAAGTCATAACACACAAAAACACACAAAACAGGATCATATCCATCAGCAATTAAAAAAGTCAAAGTCATAACACACAAAAACACAAGTCAGGATCATATCCATCAGCGGTTTAAAAAAGTCAAAGTCATAACACACAAAAACACAAAACAGGATCATATCCATCAGCAATTAAAAAAGTCAAAGTCATAACACACAAAAACACAAAGCAGGATCATATCGATTAGCGGTTTAAAAAAGTCAAAGTCATAACACACAAAAACACAAGTCAGGATCATATCCATCAGCGTTTTTAAAAAATAAAAAATAAACATAAAGAGCTAACATAATTTAGATACACATATGTTATTTTACTGTAAAATAGAGAGGTAAAAAGGTAAAATTTCAATTTAAACAAAGGTACAAAGCAACACGAATCAGGACCTGGTCCATCAGCGGTTTAAAAAAAGCTTTTTCAAAATGTCAAAGTCAGGTCAAATTGTTATTTATAGAGCACATTTGCCAAAGTGCTGTACAGGTAAAAATAAACATAAAAAGCAAACATAATTTAGATACATATATGTAATTTTAATGTAAAATAAAGAGGTAAAAAAGTAAAAAATAAATATATATATATATTTTTTTTAAGGTAAAAAGCAACACAAGTCAGGACCCGGTCCATCAGCGGTTTAAAAAAGGTTTTAAAAATGTCAAAGTCAAGTCAAGTCAGGTCAAATTTTATTTATAGAGCACATTTAAAATAACCAAGTTGCCAAAGTGCTGTACAGGTAAAAATAAACATAAAAAGCTAACATAATTTAGATACACATATGTAATTTTAACGTAAAATAAAGAGGTAAAAAGGTAAAAAATAAATTAAAAAAATTAAAAAAAGGTAAAAAGCAACACGAATCAGGATCATATCGATCAGCGATTTTTAAAAGAATATTTAGAAGTACAGAACATTAATATTAGTTTTAACATGATTTCATTAACTGCTCTTTCCTCCCATCCACATTAGCCAGAATCCTTTTTTCCCACCACTTTAAAAAACTTTGAACAGACAATTAAATGTTGAATATGTCTGAGGGTTATAAGGATATATTTCCTCCAAGTAATTTAAAGATGGATTATTGGTTAGCAACAGAGTAAAATTGTAATTTTACCATGCAGTTATTCATTTTATTTTATGTGGTTAATGTTTAATATTTAATCAATATTATTTTATTTAATAATATTTAATAATTTAGATAATATACATACATATTTATAACATACATGCATATTATTAACATACATAATAATAAAATAATTAATTTTATGTGGTTAATGTTATATATATATATATATATATATACATTTCTTTAGCACTGACTGATGACACTTTTAATTTAGTTGTTATAGAATAACAATAATAATATAACAATAACTATCTAATCCAAGCATTTAAATCAGATGTCTATAAAGAGTTTGAGGTTCAGTGACTATACTTTTCTATTTCCAGCTCAGTTCAAAATTCAGCAAAGATCAACTGCACATACAAACCAAAGCGTTAAAATATTCTCCTGAATTAAATCTAAATAACAGCAGAGCTGTGACCAGCAGAGGGAGGACTCACCCAAGAGATAAAACAGCCACTCTGACCCTATTCAAGAGCCAGTTCTGCCTATAAACTCACTCTTTGTTTTACTTTTCAGTTGCTTTATACATAAGAGGAACTCAGTTATTCTTATCCCTCAGGACCACAGATGTAAATTAGCAACTAAGCTATAATTTGGCTCATTTACAATCTGTACGGAAGTATAAGATTGTCCATTAATGTGAACCGTCCTGATTTAATAAATAAATAAATAAATAAATAAATAAATAAATAAATAAATAAATAAATAAATAAATAAATAGATAGATAAATAAATAAATGAATAAAAAAAATATTTTGTATTATTTTGTGAGAGCGAGTCCTCTTATGGAGTAAAAACTGTTTAAAGGATCAAAAAGCGTCTCCTATTATCTAAATTTGGATGTATTCCATTTGAGCAGCATAATCTGAATGTTGCTCGTACTCCCATTATGATCGATAGGAAGCCAAGGATGGATATCCAACTCCCCCACATCCAAGTCGGCCACATGACCTAATCAAAATGGCCGACTTGGATGTGGGAGGAGTTGGAGAACCAGCCGAGGCTCCTAAAGGCTGCAGACAGAGGCTGCTCCAGATGGGCTCAGTTCCACCCTGGTATGTGGATATGCCTATTATCTGCCTAAAATGGGACTTTTGGGCATCTGTCTTCATCCTTTAGTCTGTGTGAGTCCAAATATGTAAATATATATATATATATATATATACACACAGGACTGTCTCAGAAAATTAGAATATTGTGATAAAGTTCTTTATTTTCTGTAATGCAATTAAAAAACATGAAATGTCATACATTCTGGATTCATTACAAATCAACTGAAATATCACATCCTTTTATTGTTTTAATATCGCTGATTATGGCGTACAGCTGAAGAAAACTCAAATATCCGATATTCTAATATTTGGAGATAGGATATTTGGGTTTCTTAAGCTGTGAGCCATAATCAGCGATATTAAAACAATAAAAGGCTTGCGATATTTCAGTTGATTTGTAATGAATCCAGAATGTATGACATTTCATGATTTTTAATTGCATTACAGAAAATAAAGAACTTTATCACCATATTCTAATTTTCTGAGACAGTCCTGTATATATATATATATATATATATATAAAAGGAGGAGCCTGAAGCATGTCTGAACACACAACAGGGGTATTCTGGGTACTGTGTCCTTCACAGAAATGTGACTCCAGATCCCCTGACTCCCAGCAGAGGCAAAGTCACAGCTATTGATAGCTGGTTAGCAATTAGCAACACCTGACGTAACCATGGAGACGACCTGCAAGGTGGGGAGGATATTTTTTGTGTAGTTTTCTACTGGCTGTGTGTCTGATTGTGTAAAATAGGATTTTGAGCAAAGTTTTTACCATTAAATTATGCAAAAGGAGTCAAAACATTTCAGAAACTATTTCAAATATGAGACATTTGGCATTATAGGGTTAAAATGTCTTACCCACCTCACCCCCCTAACTCTAACATTCCCCTCATTCTGCAGTTTTATTCATTACATTTTAATTAATTAATTTATTATGCTTTTATTTATGACTTTGTATGTTTTCTTATGTTTCAATGTTGTTTTGATGATGATCGTCTTTGTAAAGTGTCCTTGAGTAACATGAAATCTATTATTATTATTATTATTATTATTATTATTATTATTATTATTACACTTTTCAGTGTGTTTCTATTATTATTTATTAGGGTTATTTATTATTATTATAATTATAATTATTATTATTCTCCTTTTCATTGATTATTTATCATTATAATAATAATAATAATTATTATTATTATTATTATTATTATTATTATTATTATTATTATCATTATTACTATTACTATAATTCTCTTTTTCAGTGTGTTTTATCCTGCCGTTTGGATAAAATGGCCGTTTTGGATAAAATGGCTGGTTGGGATAAAATGGCCGGTTTGGATAAAATGGCCGCTGGATAAAATGGCGGCTGGATAAAATGGCGGCGGGTCTGACCTGGGCTGTGGACGTCCTCGGTCCCGGTGTAGGAGCAGAAGACCTGGCCCCGGAACTGCCTCTGCTGCCCCCGGTGGTTGTTCTGCAGGTAGTCCATCAGCATCACGTAACCGGCCTGGTGTAGGGTCATCACCTCACAGAACACCTCCAGCTACACAACAACACAAACACACAACTAAATAACCAAAACAACACAACTAAATAACCACAACAACACAATAAAATAACAACAACACAATAAATAACAACAACAACAACAACCCAACTAAATAACAGGTAGTCCATCAGCATCACGTAACCGGCCTGGTGTAGGGTCATCACCTCACAGAACACCTCCAGCTACACAACAACACAAACACACAACTAAATAACCACAACAACACAACAAAATAACACAATAACCACAACATAACCACAACAACACAACTAAATAACCAGGTAGTCCATCAGCATCACGTAACCGGCCTGGTGTAGGGACATCACCTCACAGAACACCTCCAGCTACACAACAACACAAACACACAACTAAATAACCACAACAACAACAACAACACAACACAATAACCAAAACATAACCACAACAACACAACTAAATAACAACTAAATAACAGGTAGTCCATCAGCATCACGTAACCGGCCTGGTGTAGGGTCATCACCTCACAGAACACCTCCAGCTACACAACAACACAACAACACAATAAATAACAACAACACAATAAATAACAACAACACAATAAAATAACAACAACACAACTAAATAACAGGTAGTCCATCAGCATCACGTAACCGGCCTGGTGTAGGGTCATCACCTCACAGAACAACTCCAGCTACACAACAACAACACAACAACAACACAATAAATAAAATAACACAACTACACAACACAATAAATAACAACAAAATAACCAAAACATAACCAAAACATAACCACAACAACACAACTAAATAACCAGGTAGTCCATCAGCATCACGTAACCGGCCTGGTGTAGGGTCATCACCTCACAGAACACCTCCAGCCACACAACAACAACACAACAACAACACAATAACACAATAAATGACCACAACTACACAACAAAATAACCATAACTACAACAACACAATAACCACAACTAAATAACCACAACTACAACAACACAACTAAATAACAGGTAGTCCATCAGCATCACGTAACCGGCCTGGTGTAGGGTCATCACCTCACAGAACACCTCCAGCTACACAACAACAACACAACAACAACACAACAACAACAACACAACAACACAACTAAATAACCACAAACACACCACAAAATAACCACACAGAACGCCTCCAGCTGCACAACAACACAACACAATAAAATAACAACAACAACAACACAATAACCACTAAATAAACACAACCACAACAACACAACTAAATAACCACAACAACAACAACACAACACAATAACCACCAACAACGCCAACAACACAACTAGCAGAACAGAGGCTAGGAAGCTGAAAAAGTTGGAGGAGTTTTTAAATCAAAAAGCTAATTAGCATGAAATGCTCATTTTAAAAATATTCATTCAGATCTCATTGAAAATAAGATTGAAAATAGATTAAAACAATCAAATTAAAAGAGCTAGTTGATATGTTTCAGTCTTGTTCCCACTGGTTTTTAGTTAATCACCTAAAGTTATTTAAATCCTGGAGGTGCATTTCTCAGATCTGTCAGTGTGAACTAAAGGGAATGCAGACCAGTCGGGACACGTCAGAAAGCTTTAGGAAATATGGAAATGCTCCGTAAACACTCACATTTCCAGGTCATGGTCCACATTCTGCAGTTCAGTATCGATACTGAGCTTTAAATTATTAGGATATATCAAATGTGTATGAATGTTTGCCCTGATTTTTTTTTAAATGGAAAAAAACTGAAAGTTTTCTCTATAAAGATATATTTAAAAATAAATGGAAAAAAACATGAGAATGAACTTGTAAAAAAACAAAGAAACAGAAAGTTTTCTCTATAAAGATATATTTTTAAGAAATGTAAAAAGAATTAACTTGAAAAAAAAACGAAAAGTCTTCCCCATTAAGATATACTTTTTAAAAAATGGAAAAAAAACATGAGAATTAACTTGAAAAAAAAAAAAAAAAAAAAGAAAATTTTCTCTATAAAGATATATTTTTAAAAAATGAAAAAAACAAACATTACAATTAGCTTTAAAAAAACTGAGTTTTCTCTATAGATACATTTCTTTAAAAATGGAAAAAAAACATTAGAATTAACTTAAAAAAAAGTTTCCTCTATAAAGATATATCTTTAAAAAATGGAAAATAAACATGATAATTTCTTTAAAAAAGAAAAAAAAACTGAAAGTTTTCTCTATAAAGATATATTTTAAAACATTAGAAAAGAAAATAAGAATGAACTTGAAAAAAACCTTAAAAAAA